ACTTGCAACATGAAAAAAAAAATCGGTGCTTAATATTTTTAAAAGTTTTTTGAATTATTTAAGAAACTTTAAATAATTTTTTAGCATTTAATTAAGTCTCTGTTCTTTTAGTTTAAGTCAATTAAACTACTATGGTTAAAAGTTAACTAACTGTCATTAATCAAACGTTACTTTTCAATTTATACTCATATGATGTTGACATGGAAAGCGAAAAATATTAAATAGCTATTATCATGTTATATCAACATATTATATCGTCACCTATTAAAATAATGACAAGTGATATTTTAATTAATAATAATTAATCAACTGTTAATTAATTATAAGAATTTGTGTGACTGAAAAAAAATATAAAAACTCAATTGAACATAATAAAATAATAAAAGTTTATTTAAAATTTTTTTAATAGTTTAAGGACTTAATATGATTCTCTCATTTTACTACACATAACAAAGTATATTGATTTGACTTTTTAAACTTTGAGCAATAGTGTGTGTGCAGTTTACATCCATACATATATAATATAACATGTTTTAATTTTTTTTAGTTTCCTTCAAATTTTCACAAATCAAATAGTCTTGATATGTTTAATGGGCATTTGGTATATATTCTATAGTATGAGAGTTTTTGAGTGACATTTACATTTGCATTCAATTAAGGGAAAATATAAGCAGACAAAAAAAAAATGTTAGTAGTCGAATGATTGATCAAATTCAACTTTACAAAGTCAAAACAAATCAAGTTGTCCAATTCATTCCAACCAATCAATGAATCAATTAATGTTAAGAATTCCTCAAGTTTGTAAAATTTGGAATATGATTTGAAGCTCAAACTGAAAAAAAAGAAAAAGAAAAAAAGAAAGGGTAAGAGAAAAACAAAGGGCGATAGTGGGCCCTTGAAACCGATAAAATGGGGTGGGCTATGAGGTTGAGAATGAATGAATTAAGCCATGCATTTATCACACTGCATGTTGGCTGCAGCAAGCAGTCAAGTTTCTCATAGTCCAAACAAAACTTTTATCCTTTTGTCCCTATGCCTGATGCTAACTCTCATCCTTCAAAGTTGTCTCTTTTGTGTGCTTCACGTTCTAGGGCATGCTTAAATCCAATACATACCTGATTTAAGAAACCTCACTGAGTTTATTTATTTATTTATTTTGCTTGCAATAAGATATCAACAAAATATGATCAGCCGACTCATATTTCAAGTAAATAACAGAAGTTCATGTAACAAAGTGTTTGAACAAGTACTATAGTTGATCCGATGTTAGGATGATCTTCTAAGAATAAATAGGTATAACCCCAAGTAGAATAATAAATCTACAACAACTACAGTTGAATTAAATCAAATTGAATCTCATAAAATCGACAATATTGGATTGGCCATTTTACACTCAAATATGAATGAATACTAGCCCAGTAAGTACCACATGTAGAACCAAAATAACCCACATTTTTATTGCTTAAACTTCATAAAGAATGCCCAAGTTGTCAAAATTTCATAAAATGAAAATTGAGGATTACCTATACCCAAAAATAAGAAAATAAAAAGGAAAGGGCTAATTAATAAGCAATGATACTAGTGGATGATGAATTAGAAACAGATGCTTTGGAAGTAAATCGGCTATAGCCAGAACAGAAAAAGGGCAACTCTCTTTCTTTTCCTTCATATATCTCACACACAATTTGCAGGCTTTCTCTATCACACTTAATGTTATAAATATTATTTATATTCAATTACTGTATGAAAGACTGGAAACAGAAGTTTAGAGATGCAATTGGCTAGCAAATTAATAAGATAAATGTTGAAATGTTATGCAATTTGTGACTAGTGACAATGAAAAAGTCAAAAAGGAAATCATAACTCATCTAATGTTGAAACCATAAAGTAAACCCAATTTTGACTCTTCCATCTAAAATCCTGGAAAGTACATTAATCTGCCCACCATATATAAAACCTTTGAAGACTTAAAGAACGGCGGAGCGCTCAATTGCCCATATTTGAACTTGGATACCTTTCACAGACTGACACCATTCAAAGTCGTCTAGTTCCAAAAGCTTGCAAAAGCAGTGAAAGCAATTTGGCCATTTTCCTAATGGCATTTACAAGAGTAATGGCTTTTGTCACATTGTTTCTATTCTACATTTGTGGTTTTTTTATTTTTCTTTTTTTACTTTTACAACAAAATGAGTGGCAGAGAGAGAGAGAAATGGGTGTGGAATTTGTCATTAATTGTTTTTCGAAAAGTGAAATTGCAATAAGCAAATGTGAAAGCGGACATGCATTGCAATTTGCATATAGAATCCTTACAAGAATGCAGGACGAGAGAGAGATAGCAAAAACACAGAAACATGTGATTTGCCTGCTTCGATGCATGTGAGCCGATGGTGACATTGGAAGGACACTTGGTGTCGGGTCATCCATTGCCCATTGATAGGTGGGGCCCCTCTTCTCTCTGTGCTTTTCCCTTGGATTCAATCTTTAAAGAAGAGACATGTTTTGACAACCACTGCCTCAAAGTCCCCCTCCTGTGAAGCGGAAGCACAGGTCCTGCTTCTAAGATCACAATAACTATCTTTCCTTTTACAGGGTACGAAACCAAAATACCACGAAAATTAACACCCCCCCCCCCCCCCCCCCTTTCTGTTTGAGAGAGAGAGAGGGCAACTTTTTGAAAGGGTGGTGTGAAGAGAAGGAGAGGACTCACGGGCAGCCAAATTTCTTCATCGATCATCATTCAAAACTGTAGAAAAGATTCTCTAACGAGAGAGAGAGAGAGAGAGAAGGAAAGATTGTCGCTTACAAGGATGGTGACGCAAGAAATAATCTTAGAAATGGAATTATGACCAACATGACATACCAACTAACAGCTTTTGCATGTTTTCGCCATGGTTTCCTTGATTGTCCACACCGCGCGAAGGCATAAACGCATTGGTAAATCAGAATATACCATTAAAAGCAACTTGTATTGATGGACTTTCCAACTCTCATGCTTGCTATATGCAGCATGGACCCAATATCATTACTACAGGTGCCTTAATCAGGAAAAAAACATATATTACCAATTCCTCATGCATGGTCATTTATTTTACATATTATCTTATATTATTATACAATAATTCACCTCTCATCCCATAAAATCCTTCCTTTTTTCCTTATGTCTCCTTAGACATTACAAGTAACGTTTCTATTTGATTAACTAGATTAGACAAGCAAACCAACCTTTCTTATCTTTTTGTCGCCAATCCCACCCTTAGTATCTCAATAATGTTCGAATATTCTCAGTACATCTATTAATATATGTCCATATCCCAACAGTTTCAATTCATGTATTAGTCGAAATCGATATATATGCTAACATTTTATTAGTATTAAATTCTATTCCTGTATATTGTTCTTAAAAAAATATGAAAATTATTCCTGTACTTGAACTAATTATGAACTAAACCAAGAAGCTAGTGATGTCTTTTTTGGTTCTTTTTTTAACATGCGGTAAATAAATCTCAAAAGAAAAATATTATAGCAGTTAAAAATCTGAGACTTCAACCTGAAGAATTCAAGATCAATTTTTTAAAAATAATGCATGAGATTTGTAAGATAAGAAATGATCACCTTTTATTACGTAAATCCAAATCATACATATCAAGAAAAATTATGGAAGGATAATATATGAATGATGAGAGAGGAAAGGATAAAACCATCTCATAAGAATAAGGTGATGTTTAGTACAAAGAAACTGCTACCAATAAATTAACAAACCTAAAATTAGTGGTTAATACTTTCCTATTTTATTTTGGAATTTTACTATAAGAAACTCTTGTTAAAATGCGAATGCTCTCCTTGAATTTAAACTTTTTCTATGCAAAAGCAAATAAATTTACAAAATGTATGAACTTCATTATGACTTGTGTGGACAACCTCTTTGATCACAGTCAAATCACATTTACCACGGCCTCTTAAAAGAGAATACTATAATATAATATAATATAATCTAATCTAATATATATATATATTGATACATTTAATAGATGATTTAATAAGTTAATATCATTGCATTAGCATAAAAGAATCTTTAAAAGGACGATTAAAATTTAAGATTTTATCTTGAATATCTCAAATTAAATTTTGAGAGGATTGAGATATAAGATTTATAAAATAATAAAAAAACAGCTTTTTATTATGTATTTTAAAATCACAAAAAAAAATAAAAATAAAAACTTACCAAAGATAAACATTTAAGCTATCATCACACACTGCTAAAAGGAAAAAGGTATCAGATTCACATGACTAGAAAAGAAACAAGGAGACATGGAAACACGATGCTATAGATATCATATGGTGGTACGGTCCATGCAGATGGCAACTACTATCTGGTGGGGCAGTGATAGTTGTAGGACGCCCAACCCAAGGGTGGGCCTTGCTCGGTTGCCCCTCCCTCCTCCCATCATCCCATGCCTATCCCTGAAACATTTTATATCTATATATATTCTCTCCATATGTGTCTAGAATCGGCCAATCGTCCCACCCTACCCAAACATAGTACTACTCAATCTATGCGCCAATTGCACGATTTAAAAGCAAAATTTTGAAAAGACTTTAGGCATGGAAAAAATCACGTGGGATGTTGCCCTCTTCTTGTATTTCTTTTTCTAGTGCCAAATTGATGTTTAATATACTAGAAAAGATGGAAAATTTATCCAACCTAGAAGTTCGTTTCATATAGGAAGTAAACGATGATAGGAAAAAATCAATTATTTCATATTATCTCAGCTTTTTAATATTGGAATCTCTTCTTGTTATTAGCCATCGTGTTATATCGTTCTAAAAGAAAAATTTTGTCATCTTATATGTAATCTTGCAAATCATTTATCACGTAAAATGATATCATAGTACTCTTTATATATAGCATTCCATCCATCCATCCATCCATCCATATAGACATTTTTATGTATATTAAAAGACACTACAATAATAAAATCTTAAACCAACTTTCATTGAATTTGGAATTTATAAACTTTAAATCTAGGATGAAATGAAAAGAGTCCAGGACCTATCAAGTTTTACATGTACCATAAAAACAAAAAACAAAACAAAACAAAACATTCTTACTTGAGAGAGATCCATAAGGATGGATGCATAATTGGCTTTCCTAATTGCTCACCATTGGAGCCTAATCGAGAAGTCGCTGTGCCCTACGGGCTAGGGACCTGAAGGATATTCATTTTCCCTTTCTCCTTGGCGACCAATCCCAAAAACAGCAGCAAAAATTTACCGACTTGAGTCTCGACGTGGATGATTCACCTGATCGTTTATCCTCAGCCACCACCCCAAAATCCATTGGCAGCAGTCAGCACCTTGGTAAAATGGTTGTCAGATTTCTCTATAACTCTTCTAGTCTAATCTTTCTTTCCGAAATATAAACGCAAATACAAATCTCTCTCTATTTGGTTATTCATTTTCGTACTACCACCACCATTCCCATTATCTACACACTAGACAGTATTACATAGTCCTTACAGACAATAATAAGCACATGTTTCTGAAGAGAAACATCTACTTACGTCTTAATTCATCAGAAACTAGAAGCAAAATAAAAGTATAAAATTGCATACTTGAACCTTGAGGAATTTTTTTTTTTAAACAACAAAAGGACCACTTCTCATCTCCTTCAAATGCTTAAAAAACATAAATAATCAAAAGATGAAACAGCATATATTAGCTTGAAAAATAAATCCCACTATCTATTTTCTCATCATCTTCCTAATTTGTTTTCCCTCAAACCTTTCCAGCACCCAAACAAGATAAACTGCCAGGATCATATAACTTCAAAATAATTACAAGTTCATACCATCAGCATATTCAAATCCTCTAAACTCAGATGCAACTTGATTGCTTACCAAAAATATCCCAACCTGAAAATGATCAAATTTGTTCAACTTTTAAACTACCTATCCACCTCCACTAAGTAAAGGGGTTCTAAGATAATGACAATGATACTCTTTACTAGGTCATACATAAGATCACAATCAACTAATCTTTCTTCAGGTAAATGATGAAGATTCAGGGCATAGGATTTTGATACTTTTATAGACACCAAAATGTCCGGTCTCTTCTGTTAATAATTTTTTCATTGATATTTTGCTAAATGATGTTGGGTAATTAGTACCCATGTAAGACATGCCCTAACAATGATAAAGGTTAACTTGCCCTCAAACGTCCCTAACTAATAGATCAAAATGTTTTTCTCTTAAATAATACTAACTGATACAACAATAAGCGTTACATAAAAAGAATCAGCAAAAGAACAAAAGAGAAAGAAAAATTCTAAACACATACTCTTGTACTAGCTCATCAGTAGGGACGACAGTATCTGTCCCATTGTTTTTTCGCATGTATCACTGTCATTGTCTACATCCATGCCAGACTCCAGCACTGCAGCATCCAGAGTCAACTTCCTTTTTGCAATCTCATAAACATTCTCATCAACCGTCCCTTTCGTAACCAGCCTGAAAATAATGTGCATATCCACTATGCTAAGTAAATTATGCAACTAAAACTTCACAATGTGCTGAAGAGAGAAGAGAATGAGAAGAAGTAGGAGCCAGGGAAAAAGAAAAGGGAAAGGAAGGGTGTTTCAAGCACCTGTATATGGTAACAGGCCTTGTTTGGCCAATGCGATGGCAGCGATCTTCAGCCTGTCTGTCAATCTGTGGATTAAAATCCATGTCATGAATAACTACAGTATCTGCTCCTGTCAAGTTCAAACCCTGCCCTCCAGCTCTCGTAGACAACAAGCATGCAAATATAGAAGTGTCATTATTGAAATCATCGACTATGGTCTGCCTATCAGTCACCTGAGTACTGCAATGTAAGATATACTTAATGCTCAGCTGATGTAAAGCAAAGGGGAAAAGAAAACTGGAACACTAGCTTTGTATACAAGTAAAAACACCAACTAAAAGTCCTGCATCACTTAAGCATTGTAATAGAAGACTGTAATCAGCCTCGGAAAAGAAAAAACACCAAAACTTTTCACTCATAAGAAGGAAAAAGAAAAGTCTAACTAAACAGAATGTAAAGCAAGACCTTCCATCAAGCCGTCTATATGTAACCCCAATAACATCTAAAGTCCACTCTAAGATATCAAGCATCGAAGTCCACTGGCTAAAAATCAGAACCCGATGCCCACTTTTCTTGAGTGAAGGGAGAAGCTCTGCTAATGCCTGCGCCAACGGAAATGCACACTCAAAGGTAAGTGATGAATAACAGGAGAGAGAGAGAGAGAGAGAATATGAAAATACCCGGCATTTAGCTGAAAGCATAACATGTTCATCCGAAAGAGTTCCTTTACCACCAGTAATTCCATAATGAAGCAAAAGCTGTAAATAAAGATGTTTAAAACAAAAGTGTTAATGCCAAAATGAGAACAGAAAGAAATATAATTTTGGTAACAATTAGATTCAAAACTGCAGAAACCATTCCCCGCATAAACTTGCAGTTACACCCTAGTCTTAAGCAAAGAAAGAATCAATTGTGATGTATACAAAAAGGTTGAGCCCCAAAATCATGATTCCAATGGAAATAATAAAAGAACATACAAAGCCAGTTATACTAAATTATGAAAAACTAAATGTATAAGCAACACTTTTTACAGTTGAAATGGACTAACATGCTATTTGGAAGATAAGTTCAAATATGAATAGTCATGTTTTTACCTATAATAACAGTTTGATTAAAAAATAAAGGCATTTTTAATAGAAAATATAGCAACACTACATTGGTGGCATTTAACACCTAAAAGTACTCGATGTGGAAGGGAAATATAAGACTGAATCCCACAAATAGTCTCTGTATTTGATACAATAGGTGCATCGTAATCTTCAAATTCCTGTGCTCTCACTCTAATAACCATTAAGGTTTAAAATGAGTAAAATTATCCATCAATAGCATCAGCTATGGTAATCAATACAGAGAAATTTTCATAGTTTATTGGATTCACTAGGGTCCAATTAGAATTGAAACAAATCAATTCTAACCGGGACGTCATTGAATTTGCTACCAAACAAGCCGTCCAAAAGACAGCTCTGAAAATAAGGTATGCATTTAATTTCCAAGTTTATCTTGTTTATCCATGCCATAATTAGACCTATACTTCTCAGTGCCTTAGATGAATAAGGAAGTATTGGCATGATATGCACGACAACTCATATCAATGGATAACCAAGCATATCTGTGGTGAATATCACAAGGCACCAATTACCAACCTACAGTTTTGGCAATTGATACATTCCACAACATCAGATGGCCAAATGTGCTTCAACCTCAAATCACATCAAAAGGTTATGGCTCAAAGGAGAAACGAGGAGCCAAAGTGAAAACCAGATAAACCTAACATGAACTTAAAGCAGAGTCACCACAAGACCATGTATGACCAAAAACAACATTAATTTTACACCATTATCAAAATTTTCAGACATTAAAACACATCTTTCAGCACTCACATAGCAAATTAAGCTTTTAGGTTCGCTAGTTCCAAAATAAAGTGTAAATCATGAGTTTCCTCATTTAGATTTCAACAAAAGGTCAATGATAGGCACACATTTGGTCCCCTCTTTCAAATCTAACAGGCTTACATGAAGTGGACATCTTGGCAATTAAAACCTATTTCAAGCACTCACCTCAGAAGTTAAGCTTTTAGATTGAATCAATCTGGAATTTTTCATAAACTACAAAACAACTTAAAATATGTTTACTACTAAAGTAAGAAAACAATATGGGTAATTGCAGAAAAGAAAACTAAAATATGGTCTTCATAAAAAAGGAGTGGAAAAACAGAATAGGGAACATGCCAATAGAATAAAGAGCAACTACCAACCAACCTGCAATGCTGATAGTGCACAGATATAGTATTACTTTTCTCATACTTCCCAGTCTCTTTTGTTAGTCCTAATCTATCTTCTTTTTCAACATTCAAAAATATCTCCATTTCCAGTTTTAAAATATTTCAAATGACTACACCAGCTAACGTCTGTCAGTCACAAAAGTTTTGATAAAATGTAAAAGTTGAATGACTCTAGTTTCTTGGAAACAAATTAAGGGCACAATCAAAAGTATGACGTGCAAATGTAACGAATAGCAACCATAGGAAGTCTAAAGTATTGGAAAAAATAAGACAACTCTTCATGGAAAAATTACCCGATGAATAGAGAAGTCATTGTAGTTCTTTAGTTCCTCGATTACTCTGTCCAAGGTACATTCGAAAACACCAATTGAATGTAACCTTTTAGCAAAGCGAACAACATCCTCTTCATCATAAATTCGCCTCACCAATAATGGATGATTTGCAATCTAGGAAAGTTCAAAAACAGAGAAATTAGATTTAAGTGCAAGGGGACCCTTTTTCAAATTAACTGCATGGCAAGGAAAAAAAAAGAATATGAAGCACCTTGCGAAACTGAATAAAATAGTTCGAGATCTGACGTCGAGGAAGAATTCCAACAATATTATGCAAGTCTGAAAGTTTTGCAATGCGTGCTCGTGAAATTGTACGATACTCCTCTATGGATTCCCTATAAGCATCTTCTTGTTGCTTTTCCATAGTTACATATTCAACCTGCAGAAATGATACTTAGCTTCTCTATACTGAAATAGTTATCGATAGAAAGAAAATTCAAACCAAAGCCCCTCATAAAAATAAATCTCAATATCTAATTAAAAACCTAAGGGTAAGAAAGTATCTACCCGTTGTATCTTTGGGACAAGTTGCTGCATCACATCTGATTTCAAACGCCTCAAGATGAAAGGTCCCAACATGGACTTCATACGACCAATCAACTCCCTATCTTCTGCATTTAGCAGCTTCTTCAAGTCTACATCCTCAGTGGCAAAAAGATCAGGCATCATGAACTCTAACAATGACCACAGCTCCTGCAACAACAATATAACATGCAGAAGATTTAGAAGCATGGTTATCAAAAGTATCTTCTAAATGCTCTTGATACCACCAGCGTTTTATCGTGACACAAAAATTCTTATCAGAAGCTTTTATGATCACATAAAAGGTATTTCTAACAAAAATTGGCATTCCATTGACAGCAAAAGGATATTGGAGACAACAAGCTACAAAACTTTGTTATCAGAAGCAGAAATTAGATACATGATTCAATGCGATGAAATATACTTCTCATTACGCATACTTCACACATGGTTAAGCATTTCCCTAACTAAATTTTGGCCATTCACTGACAATATTGAGTTCTTTAAAACTGTAGTTTTAATTTATAAATTTTCATGCTTCAGCATTGAATTTAACTTTTCTTTAGTAACTGTGAATTATACCACTCACAAGCTGCATGGTAAGAGTAAAATGCTTAGCAACCATTATTCACTTTAATTATTTCCAATTCTAGAATTACGTTAAGACAGGGAGAAAAAGGTAAAAGTACATGTAAATCATTTTGCAGTGGTGTGCCTGTTAGCATAAGACGCTGGTTTGCATTTCGAGCAACTGACATTAGATTTTTCCACCTATAGCTGTTTTTGTCCTTCAAAGCATGGGCCTCATCCATTATCACACAGCTCCAACGCCAACGTTTGAGAATTTTACGATCATCCTTCTGCTGCACACTGTATAAACCACTAATAAAAAAGCCAAAACAAACATACAGAATAGAACATAAACATAAAAACCCAGTTAACAACAGCGTATACCTGTGTCGTTCAAAAAGTGAATAACACACCAGAAGAACATTAAACGGAGGTGGTAATCCAGCTTTGGACAAATAGCTCAACTCCTTCGAGTAAGCTGCTCTGCCAGCACCATGATACTGAAGTACAGAAAATGATGGACACCACTTCTTAAGTTCTCTTTCCCAGTTTTCCAAGACTGAGGCAGGACAAACTATTATATGGGGACCAGGATCATTATTCAAATGTTTGAGCAAAGTTAGATATGTAATAGCCTGTAGATAAAAACAATTACTCTGATCAAAATGAAATACAGACAGGATTATCAAGGGAAACATATTGGAGTTCAAGGTACCTGAATGGTTTTCCCAAGACCCATTTCATCTGCCAAAATAGCTGCCCATATACAGAAAGTTGTAATTAATCCTTCCAAATTATATCAATCATCTAAAACATAGACATATCATTTAGAGCCTTAACTTACTAACTTTTAAGGACAAACATTTTCACATATAAATATCTGGCATCACTGTCCCGAGAGGCAGCACTAAATAACTTGAGCCATGAATTTGACAAATGAAATAAAAATAATTAAAAAAAAACCATAAGATGAAGGGACTGCAAAATAATTGCAGAATTGGATCAAATCAAAAAAGATCTGAAACTCAGCATCCAAAACAAGTGGAGAAATATCTAAACAAAGAGGCATCAACATCTCATAGGGGACGTAACAGCAATAAATATTGATGTACATGTACTGCACTTTATAAGACGGCAAGAAATTTGAAGGCTGGATTACTTCAGCATTAACATCAGCATATGGCATCAGAAAGGAAAAGAAGACCCTAACCAACAACCATTCCCTTTTGGTCAATCAACATCAGTTGAAGCAATACCAAATTTTATATGACCAAATTCTTGTCTGAAATTTTTATCAAATTGAAAACATTGACACAAGTATGAACCTCAACTTCATGAGCTTTTTAAACTGAGCAAGTTCAATCTCATTCACTAAAAGTTAGAGCATAAAATCTTAACATTATCTAATTCCAGTAACCTATTATCACTCAAAGTTCTTATATTTTCCTTCGCCTCCCTTTCTTACGAAAATTGTTGACAGATCTCAAGAAAATGATTGGTGAAGGTCAACGCAATTATTATACAGCACAAGAATTGATACACCACCCATAATCATGAATTTTATTTTCTTTTCTTCATCTTAAGTTTTAATCACTCAAATCATGATTAACAATCTACAGCCATACATGAGAATCTAGGCCAACAAGACACCTAAGAATGAGCATTTTTATGTTTAGAGAAACAGTCTTTTCTTGCTTCTTGGATTTTCCTATAAGAACAAATGACTATGCTTATTAACTTATAAAATCCCCACAAATAATTACAATTTCTTATTTGGGTACCATATCAATAATAAAAAATCTAGAAATATAAAGTCCATACATAACCGAACATTGGTGTCAAAAGATTAGAACAGATACCTCCTCCAATACCCTTACGATGCAACAGAAGAAGAAAGTTTACACCAACCAGTTGGTATGGCTTGAGAACTGGCTGAAAATCCGAATCGACTGCCCCACATGCTATATCAATATCATACTGCGAGAGTAAGATGCATTCCAATTTATAAACAAGCCCGTTGGCAAACAATAGGTTGAGGTGGAAAAGACAATGCATTCATACTTTCCCCAATTTTCATTATGTAGTATCTCAAAACAACTGGCTCCCCTAAAATGAACATAAAAATGTAATTTCAAGCACCAGAACTATTTGCTGTGATTTTCATTATACTACAGCTTAGACAAAAAGCATAATCACAAAATTCATCTAATTAAGGTCACCTGAACTTACTGTAAACTTCCGCAATTTCATAGAAATTCCTTTTTAATTAAAAAAAATTACTAAAAAGCAAGTGATCAAGCCCTTTCCTGCCTCAACTATCTCAGGAACTAAACAAAAAATATAATGCTTTCAATTGAAAAGAAAATTACCTGTGTAACGATTCTCACAGAAGGAGCTTCTACTTCGGCGTATCGTTCACAAGAAGCACCGGAACTCCCGTAGAGCTCCTTCCGAAGCTCCGCCGATATTTTAGAGCACTTCTGCAACGCTTTCCCTACCACGTCATCCTCTTGCAATTCCTCCTCTTCGCTTGACTCAACATCAAACACCTCCTCACAACCATTTTCATCGCCGTCCTTTCCATCATCTTCTTCTTCTTCGTCGTCGTCGTCAACCACGAATCGACGGGCACGATTGACCCGCCCGGCGTCCTCGGGCTCAACATCGTCGTCCTCCAATTGTTCGACTTCGACGCAATCGTCGCTGCTTTGGTCGGAAAAACTAGACTCCGTTCGGGAATTGAAGGCGAAAGATTCAATTGGAGGAGGGCTAGGGTTTTTCTTTAAAACACGAGAGGGCTTGAAAGAGTGGTTCTCCCATTCTTCGTCCGAGACTTCGTCAAAAACGCGCTTCATTTTAAGAATTTTTTTTTGGTATTATTCCTTTAAATTATTTTTTTTTTTCCATTCTTTTCCCTTTTTGCTTTGATTTTGGGTAAGGAGCAGAGAAGAGAAGAGGAGAGAGCAGAGACAGACGAGCGGTGAGCACAGAGGATCTAACTTTTTAAGCGAAGAAGTGAGACTAAAGGCAGAAAAGAGAGAGAAGAGTTGAAGCGGCCACCTGTCTTTTCCTATCTTTTTTTTTTTTTTTTTGTTTTTGACGAATCGAATGAAATCGAAACAAAGTCAGAGGGAACTCACTACAATCAGAAAGCGCGGGTCTTCCCTGATGTGGGTTTTGGAACACTTTTGGCTTCCTCCTAACCAAATATTCGTTAACAGTTTCTGTCTAAATATTATCATTTCTTATTCTTATTTCATTTTTACATCATAAGTATATATAAATAGTTTTAATATAAAAGTTTGAATAATAAATAATTAAAATTTTATAATACAATCATTTGAAAAGAAATAAAACCAAATATATCTAATCAAAAGTTTTTTCAAAAATGTAAACATGCAGAATTTACAATTTTATTTTTACTTTAATACAAATATCTAAAATCTCATATTAATAAAAATAAAAAAAATCTTGAACTTATAATTCTGTTTAATAATTTTTTTATTCATGATATTTATAATTTATTAAAAAAATATTTAGGCAGAGGTGAGGTTTAGTCAGTGGGCTTTATTGAGTACCAAAGCCCAATAAGAGATAAATTATACATATTAGTTCACCGAATCGGCAAATAGCATTATCCTTTGGCTACAAGTTATTATCTGAAAAAGAAAATAATAATTTATGGAAAAACACCTTAAAAAAGGGGCCTTTGGCGTTTGGTTTTCCTCCACCGTACTGGTTTCTGTTTGGAGTGTAAATCTATAAATCTCCGCAGTAGAACCCTAAAGATTTGATGACACACTTTCTCAATCTCTTTTTCTTCTCGAAATCGACATCGAAATTTAGCTGATTTTTTTCTCTCTAGGGCTTCGGATTTTGAATTTGGATTTAAGAATTTGGGGGAAATTGAGGGAACAGCACAAGGGGCCTAATGGAGGGAATATTGTCTGCGACTGATAAGCAGAGAATGGTCTCCTCCTTCCTCGAGATCGCCGTTGGTCAAACTGCCGAAACCGCCACGCAGTTTTTGCAAGTACCCTTTTCTTCTCTCACTCTATTGTTTGTTTTTATACTATAAAGTTTTAAGCTCTTTGAATATCGAAGGTTCCACAATGTTGAAGTTGGTGACTTTTTTTTTTTTTCGTTGTTTTCTTTTTTCGCTTTGAGTTTAATGCTGGTTTTGATTCCCGGGTTTTAACTGAATGTCAGATTTTTATGTGTTTGACTGACGAAGTTCTTGGAATAGTTAAGATTGAGTTGTTGGTGGATTGGTTTGAGTCTTTTGATCTTAAATTGTTAATGGGTTTTGGATTCAATAGGTAATGCTGACGTAAACTGCTAATAATGTCGAGTTACCGCGGAATCCTTTGTTTCTGAGTGGCGGTTGTTGTTTATATCATATGGAACTCAATGTGAAATTTTTGTGGAAAACAGGCTACAAGTTGGAAGCTGGATGAAGCTATTCAGCTGTTTTATGTGGGTAATGAAGGTGGTGTGGTTGCATCATCATCAGAGTCTCCAGCACTGGAAAATGTGGATTCTTGGGCCAGTCAAAATTCTGGGTAGAGATTTGCGTTAATTTCAACTTTAATCATCACCTAGTTGTTTGTTTTAGAATTTACTAATGTAGTTTTTTTTCATTGGCTTCTCATATTATTCAGTGAGTTAAACGAACCTGCAAATGATAATGTTGGATCCACTGGTGGAGATGAAGTACGCCCTCCTATACCTGTGGTAAGGGAGACACTTTATGATGATGGAATGCTATATGGGTATGTTTCTTCTCTCTGCTTTTTATTTTTAATAGCATGCTGGTTGCATTGGTATTTTATTTTATTATTTTCTCTATATGTAAAGTTGCAAATTTGTACGTTGGTTTTTCTTTTTGGTCATACCTTGTTGGGTCTGCTGTGTGTGCATGCGTACATACATGCTTATCTTATGTTCAGATTTTGTATGATTTGGATATATATTCTTCTGCATTTTTCTAATACTTCATCATGTGTTGAAATTTCATTTTCTAATATTAATCTAGGACATCAAGGTTGGGATATCCTCCCCAACAGTTGAGTTCATTAGTTGCATTCCGTAATTTTGATGAGGAAATGAAGCGCCCCGGGGTTTGGGAATCAGATGAAGGTGCTTCTTCCAAAGTAGATGCTTCTCGAGACAATCTTGCCTCTTTATATCGTCCTCCCTTTCATTTAATGTTTCAAGGACCATTTGAAAAGGTATACTGGTTTATCTTAGCCTTTTATGTTCTTCATGATTTATACATTTTCTGTAATTGTTGAATGGATGTATTCAGCAGCATTAAGTTTTATTGGCTCGTTATGAGAAGTATAGGGTGATGATTATTGGTAAGTGATTAAGATTTATTGGCTGAATGATTAAGATTTGATCTTTGTTCAAATTTTCAGTAATGGATTTGATCAGCAATTTGGCTAAATCAAGTATTTCATTGCGCACTTGTTTGTTTGTTTTATTTTGTATGAAACAAAAAAAATTATAATAGAATGTTGCTGAGGCAGTTATACTGTTATGCCCATGGATCTTGTTAAGCACCCCCACTGGCCCCAGTTTCATTTTTACCTGGCTTGTATGTCAACCTCAAAATGTTATCCTCCTCACCTTTTAAGTGATGATCTCCCTCCCTCAACCATATAGTGCGTGACATGAGACTAGCCAATATGTATGTGGTTGTTTTGAAAATATGTATAATTGATACTTTAGGGGTTAATGTTGGGCTAGAAAACTTGGTATTTAGACTGCCTTTGCTATTAGTTTTTTCCTTACCTTTTATAGTCAATTTCGCCTAAAGCTATGTGTTCATGATTCAGGCAAAAGCTGCTGCATCTCTTGAGGACAAGTGGGTCCTTGTGAACTTGCAATCCACGAAGGAGTTCAGCTCACATATGGTATTATTTGAGTATTCTCTTTTTGCTCTAGTTAAAACTAAGAACTATTTACATTGTTCCCTGGGTTTGAAGTGGCATAAAATGTAATCTAATTTTCTGATGTTGTATGTGTTTTTGAAGCTTAATCGAGATACATGGGGAAATGAAGCAGTTTCTCAAACCATTAAAACCAACTTTATTTTCTGGCAGGTTAGGATGATGCTTTAGTTGTCTTTGCCTTGTGTGCGTATATTCCTCTCTCTTCATCGACTGTCAATCTTTTAAGCCATATTCTATTCAAAATTTAGTTTGAGTTTCTTTTCTTGACAGATGCTGTTGCATCTTTGAGAATGATGCCTTAACTCTGACAATGGTTTGATTGAGCTCAAATTTACAAGATACATGATGTGGGTTTTAGTCTCTTAAGTGTGTTTTGATGAAGGAAGGAATTTAAAGATTGGTTGTCAGTGTGTTCTAATTGCAATCATTTTTTATTTTCTTTTGTTTCTCAAATTAAAAAAAAAAAGGAAGAAGAAACAAAGGAATTTGGCATGATACTGCAATTTTTATTAGCAAATGTAGATGGAAAGATTAAACTAGTGCTTGAAGACTACTTCTGAATTGTATTGTGTAAATGACCTTAGGAGCCACAGCTTTATAAGCACTGACTGGCACATATGTTCTTAGCAGACCTTTATACATTATACTTTTTGAATCTGTATATTGTTTCGTTATATACGTCTTGCGATTGATACTGTTCTATGGATATAGGTGTATGATGATTCAAGTGAGGGCAGGAAAGTTTGCACCTATTACAAACTAGATTCGATTCCAGTAGTGCTCGTTATTGACCCAATCACAGGACAGAAAATGCGCTCCTGGTGTGGAATGGTTCAACCAGAGAGTTTGCTGGAGGTATAAGTTGGCAACATAAATTGCAGATTGCAATTCCTTAGGCAAATAAGAAAAAATGAAAATTCAATACTGTTAAAAAAAGGTTAATAAAACTTCATTTTATAGTATTGGCGGAAAATTTCAAAATCTGGCTTTTGTGATTTGATAAAAAAATTATTTTGAACTGTAGGACCTGGTTCAATTCATGGATGGTGGCCCAAGGGATTATCATGCAACTCTGTCTCATAAACGTCCAAGAGGAAGCTCAGTTACTCCACAACAAAAAGTTAAAGGTAATCATATATCTTTCTGCCCTACACTAATTTAAAGTTTTCTGGTAGAGAACCAATAAAGAGGTAAATGGAATTCCAGCCTAGGGTGCATCCTATTTTCAGGTTGGATTGCTTAAGTGTTAAGATGTGATACTGAGATCTGTCAAAAGAATGGGAATATCTTTAGGGTGAGAATATTTTGATGGAGTAGATGGAAAGCTTCAGCAGAAACTTTCAAGAGGGAGGGAGAGATTTCTTTCTTTATGCATTAATTTTCTATATAATTCTGCATTAGTGGATAAAGAAGGGAAGGAATGGTTTTAAGGAAAACAAAAAATCGATCCACAACCACATATGCTGTTTACAAAAATGTCTGATTCATCTGTATGTTCTGTATGTAATTTCAGTTCATTTGCTCTAGTGTCAACAGATGAAACTATCGAAGATGAGGAAATGCTAAGAGCAGTAGCAGCTTCTATGGAGAACGTGAAAGACTTTAGTAAAACAGCCTCAGATGATAAAGTTTTATCCAATATTGACAAGGAGGAACCATGCTCAACTAAGAAGCCTATATATCCACCTTTGCCTGAAGAACCTAAGGGTGATAGGAGCCTCCTATGTAGGGTTGGAGTCCGTCTTCCTGATGGACGTAGGGTGCAGAGAAATTTTCTCCGTACTGAGTCAATACAGGTAAGCATATTTTGGGGAGCTTTTTTTCTTTCTTTACTGTGATTTGTTACCATTTATATATTAGTATTTGGTTTATTCTGTTTAACTACGGTTTCCTTGGATGATCCCACTCTGAGCATCGAATTTGTATTTTCAACAATATTTCCTTTGGATGGTTGCTGTAAAGTAGGCACACTATGAATATGTGTCAAACTGATTTTGCAAATTTTGTGGGTGGCTCGTGACTAAGATGAGAAAACCTTGGCATCAATTAATGATATGAACTAATCGTTCCTCAGATTCTCTCCCCCTTGTTCTTTCTATCCCAAAGTAATAAATTTTACCCTGTACATCCGAACTAAGAGCATGCAGGTGTTGCTTTGACTGACGTGTATACCAGTTTAAACTGAGATGTATATTTTAAATGGATATCTCGTGTCACTTTTTGGGAGTATTGAGTTGGGACCATTAGATTCAACTTAAAAATTTGGGGCAAAATTGTGTTTTGTTTCCTTGGGCAGAGTGATGGACTAATGCCCAGTCCTCAGGACTGTCCTAACTGATGGGTTTTTATACTTCTTTCTCATTTCTTTTTGTCATTTTGCAGCTACTGTGGTCGTTCTGCTGTGCTCAACTTGGTGAAGCTGAATCAAAGCCATTTCGCTTGACCCAGCCGATTCCAGGAGCTTCAAAATCTCTGGATTATGATAGTAAATTAACGTTTGAGGAGTCGGGGCTCGCCAATTCTATGGTCTCGGTTGCATGGGAATGAATATTGCGAAGCTGGCACTGGTTTTTAAGTTTCTTCAACCAATGTAGCGTTGAAGGTTTTGGTTTACCAACTCTTATATCCCTGTTTGTTGATTTTTGTTGCTCTTCAAGGAGTTTAATTATGAGGATGGGGGGCGAAGGAACCATTAACTTTATGATGTACATACTCAGTACTCTTATGTCTTCAATACTATTGCAGTTTCTTTATTTATTTTAAGATTAGAGTTGGTAGCTGCATAGCCGCTACTTAGGCGGCCACCAATTTCAATGTTCTTCCAAACAGTCGAAATCTTGTGGATGGTATTAACGCACATGGACCAGGCCCTGTTGATCAAATCTAGAGAAATTTCACATCCATTCACTCCTCCTACTATCTTTTCTCTGCATAGGTGTAATGTGAATGGGTCAGACCTTTTGTTTCATGTACAAAGTAAGTAAATCGGTCACTTACTGTCTATTAATGTTGCTATCATCTATAACATATAAATAGAAGGTTTCATTTGCTCACCGTGATGTGGATACTGCATAATTAGTGTTCACTGTTTAAGGGAGGGGCTTCTTAATCTAGTGTTGAAGCAACGATTAAAAACAAAAAAGATTTCCTATCTTCCGGGGCCGTGAAAGCGAAAAAAAAGAAAAGAAAAAAGGATTCACAGTTTGATATGGCAGGAAGAGACCCCACTACAATCTGGCCGTTGGCACTTGGCAGTGTTGGTGGTCCTTATAAAATGTGGACCAAACAAAGAAAGGAAAGAAAGCTCCCACGCAATCCCTCGGCTGCCCCTTCAGGGGAAACAGGATAGGAAGAGGGACGAGGGAACTAACTAGAGAAGACGTGTTAAGATGATAATAAAGATAAAAGCTAGAAGGGTTAAGTGGTGGATTTTGGATTTTTTTAAAAAAAAAATAAAAAAAATAAAAAAAATATAATTGAAAAGAAAATACGAGTTGTGATATTGGAGAATATTTGTATAATATGGAAGGTGCGGAGAGATATGAGTTAGAAAAGGAAAAAGAAAACAAAGTGTGATAGTTTTAGTTTAGAAGATCTTGGTGTGTACTGGAGGGTACAGCTTGGCGTAATCCAGCCACGTGATATTCGCTGCTTGTCTATACTTATTATTCCGTGCTCTTTTGGAACCCCCATTTACTCATCATTCACCTCATTGCCTCGCCTTTCCATTGTAAAACAGAGAGCTAACACAGGCGTAGCCTACTTTTAACCAATTTCAACTACTTTGCCGACTACTTTGATTAAGGGTTTTATCCTTAAGTAAATTGCAAAATTTATATCTTTTCCCTTTTCATTCTTTATTTTGTTATTGTATATTCAATACAAAAAATTAAAACGTTGGATTTAATATTTTTCTAATTAAAAGTAAATAAATACATATATCTATCTATTAACACTAATATGAGATATCTAAAATATTTACAATGGAAAATCAAACGTACTAACAGTGTCTTTCGTAGCTTGTCATTGTACAATAATTGGTTTTATCCTTTTCAAAAAAATGTAATTAATTCTATCAAGTCTCCTTTCAACCTTGTAAGCCTCCCCCTTTGGTCTTTGATTTGGCTTTATACCCTTAGAAAGTAAAAATGCTAAAAAAAACAAAATAAAGAAAAATACCGCCCTACTCTCTCCCTCTCCCTCTCCCTCTCCATCACAAACCAACAAAACCACCCACACTATACTCACACAATTCCCCTCTTCCCCTCCATCCTAACGCATGCTTAAACCATGTCCAACCCACCACCACCCTTACCTCCAACCCTCACCCCCAACCACCACTATAACAGCAGCAACCACCGTCACCCCTACCCCACCCCACCACCACCACCAACCGTGAATACCGCAAAGGAAACTGGACCAATCCAAGAAACTCTAACCCTCATCACAGCCAAAAGACTAGACGATGAACGCCGCACAAAACCTTCCACAAGCTCACCTTCGAAACCTGGAGAACTGAGGTGGAAATGGGTTGAAAACTATTGCTGGGATCATGGCTGCTTCCGCAGCCAAAACCAATGCAACGACAAGTGGGATAACCTCCTCCGTGACTACAAAAAGGTTCGCCACTACCAATCCCAATCCCAGTCCTCTGATCACTTCCCTTCTTACTGGTCCATGGAAAGACACCAACGTAAGTTCCACAACTTGCCTACCAACATGTCTCCCGAAGTCTTCGAAGCCCTTAATGATGTCCTTCAGAGAAAATACAGCACCCAACAACAACAGCAAAGTACTGGTAGCATTCAGCAACAGCAACAAAAGCAACCTTGTATTTCTCAATCATCAGAGCAAGTAGCTGTCAGAACAGATCAACAGGCGCCGGAGGTTGAAGCTCCGGTGCCGGTTTCAGGTACTGCACTTTTTTTTTTCTCTTTTTTTTTTTAAATTTTTGGGTGTGTTTTTGCAATGCTTGGAGTATAGCACAGTAGTAGTAATGTGTCAGAGTCACAAATGAGAAACCTTTTTATTTTTGTCTTTCAGCGATTATATTATTACTATTATAATTATATATTGTATTTAGTCAAACCTGCAGGTTTGAAAACTCTGTTCCTTTTCATTAATTAGGGACCCATTTCTTTTTCCATATGTTACCTTCAATTGTATATAGCCATTACATAAGCTTAAAATAATAACCGTTGGATTCTCATATGTATGTATTTAATATAAAGTCACATGGGTTTTTACAAAAGTTAATTTCCTGCAAAAATAAATTGAAAAAGTTTTGAGTAATGTTATTGTTTGTTTTATTGGATACTTTGATATCAGTTCCAAAAGTTTTGAGCCACATAGGTGAAGCAATCATGCAGACCAGTGTGAAAGAGCTGCAGTCATGATGGTAGGGTGATTTTGGGCACTTACAAGAAGAAGAGAGCTGCCATAGACATATAGAATAGAAGAAGCCATCCTAATTAATAGATTTAACCCACCAGGGCTAACCTTTTTGTCGTTGCCCTTTGGGCATCATTTTCTTCAGACCAGTTTATTGCTGCTAATTTAGAAGAGAAAAAATGAATTGCACCATTTCTAGGCAGTGTTGCTTTTCATTTAAGCCTGTTAAGATCATGAGTTTCTGCAGATGCTGACCCATTTGCAGAAACCTTTATGACCTCAGGCTACCATTTATTGATCTTTCCTTCATTGCCACTCAAAAAAAA